GGGAGGGGCCAGGGGGAGGGTGGGAAGGGGAGGGGGGTTAATTTTTTTATAAATACCAAAATTTTCTCCTAAAAAAATCACACTCAATTCAATCCATCTCTCATTCTCTCAAATCTCAATCTCTCAATCTATCATTCATTCATTCAATCATTCTTAACAATCTCTCAAATCTCAAATTTTAATTTCTCAATCTTAATATCTTATTATCTCTTTTATACATTCTTTTTTAAATATATTATATTTTAATATATAAAATTTCGAGATTATTTGAAATTTTCGAAATTTAATATTTCTTTAATATATAAAAATATATAATTTATATTTTAAATATATTCTCTATTTTTTTTTGAAATTTTTGAAATTTTAATATATAAAATTTCGAATTTTTTTAAAGTATCGAAATTTAATACATTATTTTTTTATATCAAAAAATATATATTCTTTAAAATGTCGAGAGAGTCCGGTAGAAGGTCCGTGGATATGGGCGCCGTGAATCGAAGTTTGAGGAGAGGCAAAGCTAAAGCCACCTCCGACGGTTCGACCTCACGCGGTTCTCGAGGAAGACACTCCGTCTCTTCGTTTCCTACTGTCCCAAATCATTTAATCGGGGACGCTATGACGGATGAAGAATTCAACCAGATTTATTCTGGTAGAGGAGACGCGAATCTCCCCACTCTTGATAGTTTATTCGAGGATGTTGATGAAGCAGGACTGGATAATCTTGACAGGGACGATGAGCCTACACCGCAAAGCAACGACGTCGACGTGGAGGCAGGTGAGCCTGAGACCTCTCGAGGTCCGGACAAAGGTAAAAAAAATATATAAATCAGATTTATTTGTTTATCATTTTGACAAAGACACAAAAGATGGCATAGTTTATGGAACTTGTAAACATTGCGGGACCGTCATAAAAATGGGAGTTTCCAGCGGTTATGGCGGTCCGGAAAAACACCTAAGGTCGAGGCATCCCGTGGAGTACGCCAAATACGAGGCCAAAAAAAAGGGACGACAAGAAGTGCAAACCCAAATTTCTCGGTTTGCTAACAGAGGTAAGGGCGGCCTTTTTGCTTATAGCGACGAGCAAAATAAGCAAAAAATGGCCGAAATGATTTGTGAAGAAAATTTGCCATACATGTTTTCTGAAAAACTTGGTTTTATTGATTATTGTCAACAGGCATTAAACCCTCAAGCACGAGGTTTTTCAAGAAAAACAATTAAACGAGAAATTATTCGCCAGTATAAAATGGAAAAAATTAATTTGGCAAATTTTTTTCTCAATTTTAATTCT